TGTGGTTTTGTTACTAGAGCTCTGTAGTATAGATTAAGTTCTGATATGATGCCTCCTGCTTCACTCTTCTTGCTAAGGTGTGCTTTGACTATTCTGGGTCTCTTATATTTTCCAAATGTATTTCATAATTGCTTTTTCTATTTCTATGAGGAATGTTATTGGAATTTAATTGAATCGCATTCAATCTGTATAACACTTTTGGTAGTATGGCTATTTTGACAATATTAATTCTGCCTATCCATGAAGATGACCGATTTTTTTCATCTTCTAAGGTCTTCTTCAATTTCTTTCTTTACTGTCCTGTAGTTTTCATTGTAGAGGTCTTTTACCTCTTTTGTTAGATTCATTCCCAGGTATTTTATTTTATTTTATTGAGGCTATTGTAAATGGAGTAGTTTTCTTAATTTCTCTTTCAGAGGGTTTATCACTGATGTATAGAAATGCATTTTATTTAAGGGTATTGATTTTATATCCTGTTACTTTGCTGAATTCATTTATTAATCTAGAAGTTTTCTGGTGGAATTATTTGGATCCTCTAAGTAAAGAATCATGTCATCAGSAAATATGATAGTTTGAGTTCTTTTTTTCCTATTCCCATCCCTTTAATTTCTTTCACCTGTCTAATTGCTCTGGCTAGAATTTCAAGGACTRTACTGAATAGGAGTGGTGAAAGAGGCCTCCCTGTCTTGTTCCAGTTCTTAGAAGGAACGGTTCTATTTTTTCTCCATTTAGAATGATGTTGGCCTTGGGCTTAGCATAGATAGCTTTTACAATGTTGAGGTATGTTCCTACTATCCCTAGTTTTTCCAATATTGTAAACATGAAAGGGAGTTGTACTTTTTCAAATGCTTTTTATGCATCTATTGAAATGATCATATGATTTTTATCTTTAAGTCTGCCATTGTGATGAATTATATTTATTGATTTCTGTATATTGAACCAACCTTGCATCCCTGGGATAAACACCACTTAATCAAGGTGCACTATCTTTTTAACATGTTTTTGTATGTGATTTGCCAGATTTTTATTGAGAATTTTTACATCTTTGTTCATCAGAGATATTGGTCTGAAGTTTTGTTTCCTTGATGTGTCTTTTTATGGCTTAGATATCAGGGTAATACTAGCMTCATAGAATGAGTTTGGAAGTGTTTCCTCCTTTTCTACTTTATGAAATGATTTGAGGAGTACTGGTATTAAGTATTCCTTGAAGGTCTTGTAGAACCCAGCTAAGAATCCATTAGGTCCTGGGCTTTTCTTCGTTGGTAGGCTTTTGATGGCATCTTCTATTACATTGCTTGAAACTGATCTGTTTAAATTGTGTATGTCCTTCTATTTCAGTTTGAAAGAGTATAAAATGTTGCAAGAAGAAAATTCTAGTGGATTTTAAGCAAATTATTTTACAAACTGTATAAATTATTTAAATAAGTAATATAACAATTATATTTATTATAAATAATATAACAATTATAAACAATATGATAGCTCTGCTATAAATCATAGTAATAAATAAAATAAGGGATTGATATAAAGGAATACAAATCAATGAAAGAGAGTAAAAATCCACCCATATATKGTTACTTTCTTTTCAACAAACACACCAAAGTCATCGAATGAACAAAACTATCTCCAAATAAATGTGTCTGGAGCGAGTGGATATATACATAGAAATAACTAATCTTGTTCCCTACCATATTCTCTATACAAGATAATTACACGTATGTCACAGACCTATAGGTGAATTCCAAGTATATCATAGACCTAAAGGTAAAAGTCAAAACTTTATAAAGTTTCAAAAAATATTCTAGGAGAATATCTTTCAGAGTTTGACACAGTTAAAATTTCTTAGAAAGAATGTTTCTTAAAAAATTAGAAATTACAATTTTTCTAAATTCAGTATTTCTGTTCATCAAATTTACAGCTGCTCAGTATCATTACTAAAGAAATAACAATGTACAGAGATCACATTTTACCCAAAGTATAATAGGTAAAATTCATATTAATGTCTTTCTCTGATTTTTATCTCTTAGCAATCCCATTTTCCCCTCCTACAGGAAGAGAAATGGTTACGCTTATGTCTCTCTAAAGGCATTTTATGTATATCTGAATATGCAAAATATACAATTTTATCCCTTTTAGCATAAATATTAGCACATAATATACATAGCACATATTATATACTTTGATTTATTTGGAATTCTATCATATCAATATATAGAGATTCATTATATTTCTAATATTTGCATAGTGTTACATTTAGGGGTTTCAGTTTAGTATTATAAAAATCATCAAATGATTTAATTCAAATCTTCAATACTAAAGTTTTAAATAATTTGTTTGTTATAACATTTTTGTACTCAAATATCATGTGATATATACATGAAAAATAATAGTAAATTTATGATCAAAGGTAGCAGTTAATGTTAGTATTACTGCACCATGTCAAATCAGCTAACATCCAAATAATAAAAAATATCTCAAACTCTAAAAATATTGTAGTTACTAAGTTAAAAAATATATATTAGATAAAAAGTTTATTTTACTGAACTCAGTAAATTCACAAGAGAAGTAGCATACAATTGAATAAGTGTTACACACACTTTAGATCGACGGACAATGTACAAAAAAATGTCTTCACAAAAATTAAGCAAGAGACTATAATTTAAAGCAAAATGTTTTGTAACTTTCAAAAAACAATATGTGACTAAGAATCTGTTGTGTCTTCATTAAAGTACCCTAACAGTAAACAGAAAATTTCAATGAACTATTCAATTTGCTTAATGACCCATTTTTTTTTCTTCCTATAAACAATCTTTTAAAAACATGATTTAAAATCGTTTTTATTTTTCCTTCCTCTCATCTTAACTGGGTTGATTGAAAGTAAAAACATTTTTCTTCTTCACTTTTTGTAAATCCATACAACCTTAAGACTAGTTTACCCTGAGAGTGAGAACTGATCTTTGTGAAGGGAAAGAACTGAGAGTCACTTAGGATAGCACAGAGTGCATTGGCCCACACTGTCATGTCTATAGCCCACACATGTCATTTCTGTGCATGGTCAGCCATATCCTGGATGCCTGATCTTAAACAATGTGCAAATAACTCATCGGGGTTAATACTTTTTCCAGTCATAAAGTGGATATTTTCCTACACTGAAGGTTTTTGTCTTCAGTCTCCATTTTTATTTCCTAATATGGGTATTAGCATTATATGAAAAAGTCCAGAAAACACATGTTAAAAATAATTTTTTTTTTAAAAAAATAGTTTAATCTTCTCCTTACTCCAGTTCTTCTAGTTCTGTATTCCATTTACCCAAAGCAACCACTATGAAAAATATCTTGATTCTAACCCCTGGAGAATTATTCTATTATTTGTAAACAAATCGTGGTATATTATATACAATAAACTAGTGGCATCACACAGTTGTGAAAAAAATCTCAGAAATGTATCCAGAGATAATAACTTGAATTTTGAAGATCCAAACCATCACTTCCATAAAGTGTCTTCATGCTTCTCAGGCCAATCCAGCTGTTGTAATTACACATGGCAAAGTACTTTCAAAACTAAGAAGTAGAGCACAAGGGAGAGATTCTAAGGCATGGCTTTTGAACTGGAAATGAAGCCACCTGGAGGTTCATTCTGAGCTTAAAAGAAAGAATTTTCACCACTGGCTTTTCCTCACTCCCAGTTTCCTACTTCAGGGGATGGAACTGAAATCCTATTCAGGGACATTTCTGAGAGATGGGGAAAAAAATGGAAGTAACTTAGGCACCATTGTTCTGTATCCAGACTAATAGCTGACCAACACGTGGCATGACCTGGGGCAGAACTGCTATAAAAGAGTAATTCTCCTTTAACCCCTCCATGTAAATCATCAGAAAGTTTCCCTCCACTGATTTAAACAAATTTGGTCCTTGACCTCTAGAGCCAGAAATGGCCTCAACAACTCTTTCAGATGGTTGTAGTATTGACTGTTTGATGTGTGTCAACTATCATAAAACACAATAGTATTTCATGAGCGATCTTCAAAAAATRCAACATATGTTTGAAGTCAGGGTAACAGTCTCTTTATTCCAAGCAAATCAGTAGCATGAAATATTGCAGATTAATGAAATAATGCTCTTTGTTGTATCAAGATTTGGCATCTTATGCAGCTGTGATTTGTGATATTTTTCAACCAATTGCAACACCTGTCAATGTGCTTCCTATCGTAACTTCAAAAGGCTTCCAATAAATACCAAATGCTTGAAAGGGTTCTCAAGTGTATAAGTAGGAATTTTTCTGGGTCTGTGATTTTTGATACTTAACAACAAGATCAGTACAATAGTTCATAAACTAAACAGTTGCTTAATGATCTATCTGCAAACATTCAAGTCTGACAAATTGAAATACCCCAGAAGAAACAAAAAATTCTATTTGTTTAATTTTTTAGAAGACAAATAAAGCCTTAACAATATATTGAATGCCTTTAAATAAAACCTAAACTATATAATTAAAATAATATTTTCCAAAAAATATTTTTCTAATTTGCATAAATATTATTTTTTTCAAAGGAGTTTTCAAGAAGTTTCTACTGATATATCTATAGAGATGTCTCTAGATTTTTTAGTATATGAATATATATATATATATATATATATATATATATAAAATGTATAAAAATTTATATCTCCAAATTGAAATAAATTTTAACATCTCTTAGCAATGTTTAATAAACTGCAATACAGGAAGATATTGTATTGAATATAGTATTAAAATATTTTGGCACTTAATAGTTCAAAAATTGTTTTATTTAATCGAGACCAACTGGCCTCATTGCTTCTTATAAACTTTGCAATATATATTCAGAAAAAAGGAATAAAAATGAACAGATGTTTCTCCTTAAAGAAGGCAGACAAAGATTTTTCTTACACAATAAATCAGCTTCTAGTGGATTTCCAGGACATTACTTCAGGCTATTTAGATATAAAACTTAAGGGGTAAAAAAAAAAAAAAAAAGTTACCTCAGTATGGATCCAAAATTGGTAAAGGAGATTGAACTGAAGATGAACAGCATATACAGAGGGTGGTATGAAGAGGGCCATGGGAGAGTAGAAAATCTTAAAGATAAAAATAAAACAAAAACAAAAACAAAATTACATACAGGATTTCTCAACATAGGATTTATCAATGGTTCAATATTCTAAATATAYATTTCTTTAGAAAATATACCTTCTTCTATATATTTTCTTATTATATTTGACATTGTAGCATCAATTTTTCACATTTTGATAAAGTTGCAGACAAATAGTAGCTAAATCCACTAACCTTCTATTTTTGCATTTAAGGTTATTTAGTAAAAATGCTATATGTTGTGCATATTATTTGCTTAACTTTGAAAGGCTAGATGTATTTCCTGCACATAAAGAAATTTCTTATACACATAAAATCTTACCTTATGTAAGTAAAAATATTGTAGAAACATGTGCTTTTGTAYCTTTGATAACCTCCAAATTCTGTGTTATCTGGCATTTTTAATAATACAATGAGATACAATAAACAAAAGCGTCTWTGAATAAAGAAAGGATATAATATACTTTTCATTTTAAATTTGTTTTTATGTAGCTGATTAAAAGTATCAGAATTTCTAATATTTGGAAGTCATTAAGGTCGGAGGTAATATGTGATCGCACAGTGGAATCAAATTCTGAAGTCCATATTTCCTAACAGATGGAATGCCTCTGCCTTGGAAAAACAAAATCTTTTGCTTAAACAACAGAACTGCTTAGAATCAACTAAAAAGCGTGATCTACTGTGTTTTTCTAATGACTTTGATCCCCAAGAATGGTTTCATGTTGGTAGAAAACATTTTATTAAATGAAAAAATGAACAACCAAAGAAGAATAAGAAGAATCTTACACTCACTTTACATTTCTGATATGAGAGTCCACATTTCTAAAAGGCCAGATATATTAAAAACATTTCTTCTAAACATTACAACTTGATTTCTAAATTATTTTAAAGCATTTGTTCTCAAATTAGGTAAAAGGCCATTTTAAGGATGTTTARTAATGATTATGCACTTAAAATTAGATATTTACATAAAATCTTCTAGCTTCTGATTCTAAACTTAAGTCATGAAAAATATGAACTATTGGACTGGGGTGGTGATTCAGTAGTAGAACACTTGCCTAGCACATGTGAGGCACTGGGTTGGATCCCAGCACCACATAAAAACAAAACAAAATAAGATAAAAGTCATTGTTTTCATCCATAACTAAAACAATACTAAAAAATCAACTATTATCACAAGCAAGGTCAGTTTAATTATTTATAAATGGGTCCTGATAAATGGAATAAAGTGGTAAGCAAATAAAGAATATAGGACCCTTACTGAAGAGATCAACTTTTAAGCTGTGGTTCCACTGTAGACTTCCTTTTTAATATTCAGAATTTTCTTAAGCTTCTCCAGGACTCAATTTTCTCAGACTAGTGGATTAGTAGAACACCATTTGAAATCTAATTATCCTTGGGGTTCCAAAAGATCTATGGCTTTATGATTTTAATAATATATTATAATAGGTTAATAATAACCATTGTTTAAAACACATTTATGGCCTATGACACAGGGATAATCTGGAAACTACTAATTAGTATATGAGAAAAATGTAAAACTACTTATTTGGGTGCTTACTGAATAGTTCTGTTTTTAAAGATAATAAATGGCAGATTAATCAGATTAATACTTATAGTTATTTAATTAATATTATAATTTTTCAAAGTCTGGGGARTAGTTCCATGAGATATTAACAGCAGTTATGGCAAAAGCAGTTCTACAGTTAAGAGGTAAAATGGTGGATTAAACAGGTGAAGTTTCTTTACAAAGAATTTTGAGAGCCTTTACCACACCTGTTAGCCCATGGAATAATTTCTTGATGAATTTCCCATAGGATTAGATCTCCTAAAAACTCATTTTATGAAACAATATCCTAAACCATACCAATCAGTAAATATAATGATGAACTGACAATTGGAAAAATGAGTTCACTAGGCATTAAAAAACAATCACACTTTTAGTAAGTAAGAGTACAGATTGGCAAATTAATTGAGTGATAATTTTTGTGACTAATATAATGTTACAAAAAACCCTAATTATACAACCAAGRTCATAATTTTTAAGATTCAAAGGAGTTTAGTAAATGTAGACCAATTAGGAGAATTCTCACATATCGTTTWTATGTTATTGTTGTTCTTTCACTTTTGTGGTCTGGGAATCAAATCCTGGGTCTCTCATGTGCTAAACAAGGACTCTACCACCAAGGATATCCCCAGCCTACTTATCTTCTTTTCCACCTCCAATCTTAGCACTCCCAAATCTTCTATAGCCTTTAAAACCAATGAAAACTCCATTTCCATCATAAATCCTTAGTTGTACTAACTTGACTAAGAAAATTTTTTCTTCCTCAAACTGAGTTTTTGTAACAGTAACTGGGCCAAGGGACAGTATACTGTTTACCAAATATATTCATTTTTACCATGCACACCTATGGCATTCTGAGGCCAAGGCCCTTTAGCCCTATTACACTGTTTTCCCTGAGTTATTCTCTTCCCTTAGACAGAAAGCATATATAATAGGGTCATAAGCCTGGAATAACCCAGACAGATCTGTACCTGTGAGGAAAACATGAGAGTAAGCCTAGAGGTGTCCCTTGTCTAACAGAAAGTAAGCAGATTTTATCCTTTAGGAGTAAAGCAAGCACACCTGAGGTAATATCATGGTGCCAGAAATCATGTGGCCTGTAGGGGGCACTATAAGTATTTCAGCCTTGTTGAAGGTGTTGGAGATAGGGTAGCAAGAGACTGGATTGGATTCTGGTATTTCAGGGCAGATCCYGAGAAGTCCAGGAACCCTAAAACCATTACAATAATTTGCATGGGCAAATATGCATTGTTCTAAAGAAATTATCCATCACTTTTATTGATTAGGGAGTTTCCAATATGTTGTGACTCACTAAAGAAAAAAAAAGAAAGAAAGAAAAAAAGAAAAGGAATTTAGAAAGTGACTAAATCAAGAAGGAAGGCTTTTATTACCATTCTAAGTAATAGACATAAGGAAACAGTTAACATTCATCTTGTTAAACATGTAAGAAAAAAACAAATATAAAAATATGTTTGGAGCCTATTTCAAAAGCCCAGTAGAAAATGATGTGTTTTTAATCACATCAGCAACTATTTAATCATATGAGTAGAGGGTGATAAAGAGGTATAAAACAATATCCAGATTTCTGGCTTACAAACCACCAGAATCTAGGTGAGAGGCCTAGAAGTGATTCTCCCTCAGAGTATTCATGGTGAACAGGAGGAATAGCTAATGAAGGTCAGATTGGGGAATATTGTGTTGAGACATACCCCCCAGGAAGCTATGGAGTGAGCAGTTGGAACTGTGAGTGTGGAATCAAATATCAAGGAATCAGAAAGTATCTGAGTTAAGCTTGCTGATATGGTACCATGTAAATATCAATTGTATTCAAACTAATGAAGGTATCCACAGTGAGAAGATAACAGCCAAATGTGCAACTCTATGAGCACTTAGAAATAAGAGAGGAAGCAAATTAGGCTAAAAAAAAAAGGACAGTTACGAAGGTAGAAAAGATTACTTGGTGTCATTAGACACAAATGAGAGATTCTTATGATGGAGAGAAGACTCCCAATAAGTGTCTAAATAGTAAAAGAATTTTTTAAAATTACACTGGATTTTCAGGTGTGATTAGAACAGCAGTAGACTTGAAATCCAAACCTCAGTAAGTATAAGAATAACCCAGAGGATGTGGGAGATAATACAACAGAGGGAGAGATCATCACTTGCTTATCTTTTCCCTGAGAACAAGAAAGAAGAAACCTAGAAATATTCCTGGAATAGAACAATGGATGATGAAGGAAATTTTGTATATTTTGTTCTAAAATATGAGAGACATGAATATATTTATAGCTTGATATGAAAGACACCATTGAGAGGAAAAGAGACAAATGTGCTGGTGGCACTGCAAATTGGTGCAGCCAATATGGAAAGCAGCATGGAGATGTCTTGAAAAATTGGGAATGGAATCATTGTTTGTCCCAGCTATCCCTCTCCTCGGTCTATACCCAAAGGACTTAAAAACAGCATAGTACAGGAACACAGCCACATCAATGATAATAGCAGCACAATTCACAATAGCTAAACTGTGGAACCAATCTAGATGCCCTTCAGTAGATGAATGGATAAAAAAAATGTGGCATATATACACAATGGAATATTACCCAGCAATAAAAGAGAATAAAATCATGTTTTTTGCAGGTAAATGGATAGAGTTAGAGAAGATAATGCTAAGTGAAGTTAGCAAATTCCAAAAAAAAATGCCAAATGTTTTCTTTGATATAAGGAGGGCGATTCATAGTGGGATAGGGAGCAGGAGATGAACTCTAGATAGGACAGAGGGGTTGGAGGGGAAGGGAGGGAGCATAGGGTTATTAATGATGGTGGAATGTGATGATCATTATTATCCAAAGTACAGATATGAAGACATGAATTGGTGTGAMTATACTTGGTATACAACCAGAGATATGAAAAAATGTGCTCTATATGTGTAATAAGAATTGTAATGCATTCTGCTGTCATATATAGATAAATAAATCGATAAAATAAAAAAGAGTAGCTTATTGGGCAAAATCCAAGAGAGGCAACCAGAGTCAGGTCACCAACCTACAAATTAGACTTGCTGAAGAGAGGTGAACTTTTTCTCTAAAATGAGAGGTAAGAAAAGCATGTTCACCTGTAAATTCCCGAGTCTTAATTGAAGACAGGTGAAAAGAAAGTCGAGTGAGGGAACACTGGATAAACTCACGCTTCTCTGTGAAGTTTTAAATATGTTCCTCAGGCARCAGTGGAGAAGAGATGTTGAGGGGGCTGTGAAATTCTAGAAAGGCTTTTCCAAGGCATAGAAAAGAAAATAGAGTGGCCTCATGTTGAGCAGTCTCATGTTGCTGGCTTGGAAGGCAGTGTGGAGTTGCTGTGTCTGGAAGCCATACGTGGAAGGGCACCAACCTGGCCAGTGCTGGAGGACGTCCCCAGCACTCAGCA